AGAGGTGAAACATTCACACGTGATATCACCTTATTTTTGCAACCTAGTGCCCCTCACTTAATCATTGATCCACCACCCCCAATGATGTAATGCTTTTACCCATGTCCCTGGGATTAGAAGGCAAGCATCTTAACCACCAAGCTATTCAACTCCACTCTCTATAATTGTAGTATTTTGGGAACAGTACAGTGTTTAAGAGGCAAATTAATTTAAAGTTGCTATTCTATCACATAGTGTGGTAATAACCTTTGGTTTGCATTATCATCACAGGGCTATGGACATTCAGCTGACAAACAAACCTTGTCAAGTACATCCGTAGATGCAGCATTAATCAAGAGATTTAATCACCACAATACCAGGGTACTAAGTGTCACAGAGTATGTTTCTTTTAACAACATGTTTCATTCACGTTTTTCATAACTAGTGTAAGGCACACTGGTCTAAATCACAGCATTATAGCTGATTGAACAAGACAGCACTTTACAGAGATAAATTCTGTCTACTCACGCTTTTATCAACACAGCGGAATTCTTTCAGACGTCATTTATATTCATGTTTATAGTACATTGTAAATGTCAGTAATGTATGAGTAAATATGCCAATACACAGCATCAAAATTAATCCCACGATTGATATCCTATTCCCTGTAGGATGAATAATTTATTTGTGAGCCACTAAAAATTGCATTACATTGACCTCGCCAGCCTAACAATTGAGGAAATGGGTTTTATCATTATTTTGTGGTGTAAATTTGAAATAATATGAAGTTTAGATAATAATGTATAATGGTCTATATGGTAAAACTATTCAAGTGTGATACAAAATTTTTCTTATCCTCAGATCTGAAACATCCATGTTGGCAAAACAAGCAGACAATGGTACGACAAAAGCAAATACTGTCAACCCAAACCATTCCAAGAACAATTCCAGTACAGAACCGACAGCTGTTAAACGTATACGTCTGAAAGCTGCCACCACATATGAGGATCTGTCAACCCCCGAGTCTGTCCGACCAGTATCGTTGAGACTGGAGAGGACAGAGCGTTATTATCATGGTCCTATGCCAGTTATTGGGTCAAGTTATGAAACCACTGATGATGTTTTACAAGCAACGGCTGCTATACAAGCTGAAATGACCTCTACCCCAAGGGTCAATCTTGTTGGTGTAAGTACGTAGAAGGTGTATACAGTGGTGTATTGACATGGGAGGGGCTGATTGTGGGGAGGGATGAGTCAACTAATTGGGGGAGAGGGTGAGGTGATAAGACAGTGAGGTAAGCAGGCTGGTGTATAAGGTAATATGAGGTGATTTTTAGCTATTCTTTGCATATGTATTTTTTGTAATTATTTACAATTCTTTGTGGTGTGCAATAGAAATTAATTATATTAAGACAAATATGATTTATATGATATGAGGCGTGCCATCCCAAAACCAGTGTACCATCGTTAATTGTCAAACCAAGTGATTAGCATAAGAAAGTGGCAGTATTGTATACTTTAGTACAGAGAAGCTGTAATACTTTACTCATAACTTGGTAAGTCGATTCCAGGAAATTACCTATCATTTTAAAACTTATAATGTCAAGAATATGAAAAAAAAAGAAAAGAAGTCAACTTTCCTGTTTTTGTTTTGGCTAACAAGCCCCATATTAGTAATACAATAAAATCACATCAAAATATATACGTGTTAACGCTGAAGAAGGACACAGGCGTGTCTGAATATTCGTTTGCAATAAATTTTATGTCTCTATTATGTCAAC